CAGCAGCTGACTTGGGGACGCTTGGGGTTCTTAAGTTGAATCTGTATGTAAGTCAGAACCGCTGGTCAGTTTCAGCAGCGGCTGAATCTGGATGCCAGTTCCGACTTACATACAGATTCAACTTAAGAACAAACCTACAGTCCCTATCTTGTACGTAACCCGGGGACTGCCTGTACACTGAATTTGTGTGCAATATTTATCCTGTTCTTTATAATTCTGTCTGGACAATGAAAAAAATATTTTGTTTCACATTGGTTTCTGGTCAGTCTGTTTTTCTTATGGAATGTCCGCTGATATTAACATGGGCAATACTGGCCCCATTTACCCGGCTCCACGGATAGTAATAAAACGATTTACACCTGCTCAGAATTTTGTTAGTTTGTACGGTAGTAAAAGTACTTGTGCCCTATCTTACTACAACTTCCAATTGCTGGTATGACTGGTGGTGTCAAAATGGGAAAGATTTTACTAGTGTACACAAACCTTTCGCTGGAGCGAATGTCTCACTTGTAAATGTAATTTTCTGCCTTTATTCATCTTTACTATTAGGATTATCACGGTCTTACTCTGAACAGTAGGACTAACACATTCACCAAACCAACATAAAAATATATATTTGAAAAACGTCTTAGAATTTTCACCTCTCACTAGAATATTGATAAAACTTACAAAACTTGAACCATATGAATGTACCTTGTCCTTGCTGGACACTTTCTGGCAGAGTCTTGTGCACTTTAACATTGGTAATATTTCCATTTGCTCTACTTTGCAGTTCAGCTGAAAATGCCTAAAAAGAGAACTACTGTCATCACCCATAGGCAATTCTTTATAGTTTTGACAGTAAAATACAGATTTGAAAAGTACAAATTAAATAAAAAATGTTTAGAAAAAACTAAAGGTGAACTAGCTACTGTCCACTGAGCAATCGTATTCAATACAGAACGGAAATAGTGATAAATTGGAATAATAAAGGAATCATGACTCCTTCAAAATTATGAACAAGGGAGACAATCTGGCAAATTGTTTCAGGTTTAACATCTTCAGGTGGTACAGTGAAAGTCTAATTAGCATTTAATAGGGTGCATAGACAGAGGGTTTATTCCCAACTTGAGTGATACCTCTAACTCGACTCCTGTCCACACCCAAAAACCCTTAAAATTTAAGTTTAATGGTGCTTTTAACTCAAGTTGGATGGTCCATCTGGGAAGATAGGCAGCAGCTCTAGTTGCACAACTCATCAGCCGAGAACATAATATATGATACTTGTGCAACACAGCGAGGCTGCTCTTGCGCAAGTGAGCTCAGGAGAAGTTAAAGTGTAGATAACTTGAGTTAACTATTCAGGGAAGACCAAGGGGAGGGGGGAAGAGGGGGAGAGAGAATGCTACCTAAGGCTGTACCACAAAAGATTCACATGCTTCTGTGGGCTAAGAATTACTTCAGTGGTAACCTGTACCAGCTCCAGCAAAGGTGAAAAGTGTGCAGGAAAGGCAGGTGACTGTGCATGGAAGAACAAAAAGGCAACTTTACATTCTATATTCCAAGGGAAATTCTATCAGAGCAGGAACAGTAACAGTAACAGTCACAAGACGGTGCCTGAATTAACCAGACAAAACGCCAAGGATACTCTCTTGACTACTATGATAATGAGCACTTTTACTCCTGTCCAGGTCAAAAGAAGCATAATTTAATATCTTGCAGACCAAAGGGGAATCTAACACTCGACAGTAACCTGACACACACTGTCTCCAGTTGTGCTTTTGCTTATATTGCTTGGGCACCAGCAAAGCACTACTAGTGGTAGGCATGGTGGAAGCACAAAGTAGATTGGCAACCTGTGTTTCTGCCACTCTATCATCTAGCTCTCAGTGGTAAAAATGCCTTTGAGTGGCTTGCACTAACACATCAACCATTGCTACCAGTAGTGAAGCTGCACTGGTGCTAGACAAATAGGGCAAGGAGGGCTGACCATTCCTGGTGCAGTAGGGAAATAAGGATGAGACTTCAGGAAACTACTGAGAAAAACAGTATAATCTAGTTCTGGGCCTGACATCCATTCCTTAAGCCCACACATAACAGAAAGCACAGTAATAGGAGAAAAATTACCTGAATATTATCTGTATCATCTGGATGCAACACAAAGTGAACTTCCTGAAGAGACTTCAAATTTTTTCTACTACTGAATTTGAACACCTGGTCAAACATTAATTTGGCAACAATGGACTTAGGAAACCCTAAATTCCCAGTTCCAATTGCTGGGAATGTGATGGTATTTAAAGACAGTTGCTCAGCAATCTGAAGACATTCCATGATGATGTCTCTTAGGAGCTGTTGAATCACAACAAATTCACATTAGCAAACGTATTTTATATTAAAATACTAGTAAAAATATTAAATTGCATCACAGTTCAACATGGATTTACATATAAGAACAAAAGAATGGCCATACTGGGTCAAACCAAAGGTCTGTCTAACCGAGTCCTGGACTAGTTTCATCATGAGCTTAGTCACATCAAAAAATTAAGAGAGCTGACCACAAGAAATACTCTACTGATTTCAATGTTGGATTCACGTTAAATCTACATTACTGCCAACTGAGAAGCCCATTCAATCAAATAAGGATTAGGAAAATAAAAAGCCTTCTACCTTCTGTCCAGATTCTTGCCCATTTTTCCATCCAGGAACAATGGCATGAAGCACAAAACGGCAGCCCAGGTTGCATCCATCTGTTTTGAACACAGACCCTTCACTCGCTACTTGTTTTAGGCCTTCTTCAGACAGTTGTGCTTGGAGCTTTGGGCCTGCCTTGCTCAGCAAGGCTCTAGAGAGTGGACCTTTATCAAGCTGTAGATCTTGGGCAACACTGTTTACGATGATGTCCGTCTTAAACAAAACCAAATACCCGTTATAAAATTAAAACCTGAAACATTTAAGGCTAAGTGACTATATCAGCATCTGCAGATTTAAGAAATAACAAAGCTAATTTAAAAATAGCAATCTGGAATAATGCAAATCTTTTGGACAAACTGTATCCGTGTATGCTTATTTACACCTACATCATTGCATTGACTTTTGTGGAGCAACCTGGGTGTACTAGAGTGAAGTTTGTCCCTTATGCAGAAGTTCATATTTTACATAGAATTATTGGAACCCCATTTTCTTACCCTACTCTCATCTGAAAAAAGCCATATACGATTTTCCTAATTCATATTCTCATAATGATCCTGCCCTTGGCTGCATCTCCATCCAACTAGTAAAACCGACATGATGGTCTACTGAGTTTCACATGCTTTGCTACTCCTGTGTAAATTGGTATGAGCAGAAGCAGCCACATGGGTGTAGTTCTGTAGAAAGGGAAGTGAAACAGGAGTTATAGAAAATAAAGAAGGAAAATGAGAGAATGAATTAACGGAAAGAGAGGAAGCAGACAGGGAAAGGATTAATTCTCTCACCTGCCCCTGCCCACCCCACCCCACCACATGGATTATGAATGATGTCCAAAAAGCAGTCAACCCCAGACAGGAGGAGCATGGTACATCATTATGCTCTTGTAAGTCTCTCTGGCCAATGGAGGTGTTTCATTTACAGGCTGTGGCAGCCACAGCCAGAACTCTTAGGATGGATAGTTGGTTATCATGCAGAGCCGCAGTAGGGGTAGCTCCTTTCCTTATTGACTAATTGTGTATTCAATACAAATTGTATCGACTATATGATTACCCAATTACCTGCCTCTTAACATTCTTAGTCTAAAGTGTGTATGTTCATCTCTATTTCTGTATAAATAGCATGAAAAACTCAACTTCTACAGGTTGGCCCTCTCTAGTGCGGCACGCAAGGGACCTGACTGGTCCCGAATGAGGGATTTTGACAGACCAGGGATGATCATTTCTGGTCCGCTTGCTGCAAGCTCCACCCTCTACCTTTCTCCCTCACAGACTTCCCTGCTCCCCCCCTAACATCTCAGCTGATCCATGTGCTGCCGTACCCCCCACCATCCATTGCAACACCAGGACTCTCTGATGCTGGACGACCAGCAAGTTCTGGTTGCCAGGTTGTTGAGAGTTCCAGTTTATAGAGGTGGAACCTGTAGTTCACTTGCCTAACCTAGCATCACAATCAATTATTTGTGTTAGTATATTGCATGTGTTTCCTTATTAATTATCATTTAAAATTTTGGTCTTTTAATATATTGAAAACAAAACTTTACAAGTTGGAGAACATCTGATAACAGGAAATACCTACTGTAGCATCTTCAATGCCTCCTTTCTCTACTATGATGCTTAATCCTTCATCTGTTACCACCATCTTGAGATCCTTTGGGCTGTGAGCATTTCTGCTTTTTCTGGGCTTAAAGGCTGCTTTAGACTGCGTTGATGAACTGTGTTGGGGTGATTTCTCTCTAAACACTTCTTTCAAGGCATCAGTGAGAGCCTGAACTGTTTTCTCTGAAGAGTCCACAAGATGGATCTTCTTCAGGCAGCTTTCCCCTGGAGACTCTTCCAAGGTTTCCTTGATAGACAGTGCAATTGACTGCGCACACAGTTGTAACGGGAACTCGAAAATCCCAGAGCTTAGAGCAGGGATGGCTATGGAATGATGATTGTACGTTTCAGCCAGGCGTAGGCTTTCCTTTACTGCTCTTTTTAACAAGTACACGCACTTTTCTACTTCATGATCCCTCCACCTGGGCCCAACAGCATGAATCACCTGTTTACATGGGAGCTTCCCAGCATCTGTAATAAGAGCACGGCCGGGCTGCAAAGGGCCTCGCTTCTGCACAATACGGTCACATTCTGTTTGTAGTTCTGGCCCTGCAGCTTGTGAAAGTGCCTCAGCAAGGCCACCGATATGCTTCAAGTCCTCATTTGCTGCATTCACCACCACGTCAGTTGGATGACTGCACAAGTCCCCTTTATAAACTGCTACTACAACCCCATCTTGCAGGGTCATTTCACAGTAGGACTGGCCTTGTTTCTTATACACATTACTAACTTCATCATCTTTTTGTTCTTCTCCTTCAGCTTGCAGCCTGATCAGACAGTTAAATTTTTGTTTCACCCCCGTAACATACAAGAGTTCTTGTTCTTTGAAACACACTTTGGCCCCCGGTTTATCAATTACCATATTTTCTGTATATAATGACGACAGAATTTGTTCAATTTTGGTGACTGCCTGAAACACCTCCACTCTCGGTCCTTTCAGGGAAATACCTTTATGTGTATTTTGTGTGCCAAATTCAATTCTCACACCTTTCTTTTTTATTTCAAGCCACACGTTGGACTTTTCCTTCTCCACAAACATTACAACTGCCACAGACTTCGTCATGACAACTTTTTGTACCTCAGTGTGTTTATCCACAAAATCAGAAAGTTGCTGATATGCTGCTTCTACTGCTCTGAAATGACCAGCAATGACTATTTGATCCTCCAACTCATTAATTATTATTGTTTCCTTGGAACAATTATGTGCCTTATAAAAATGGTCCTTTAGCTCCTTCCATTCTCTCTTTTTGAGGATTGAATTGTCCTCCAGGTCAATGCATTTGTAAATCAAATCCTTCTTCAATTCTTCTTCTGCTTCTAGAAGAACTCCAGGAGAACCTGCTATCAGCATTATGCTATCAGTGACAAGCTCATAAAAGGCATTAATTCGATTTGAAATAAATAAGTTCTGTGACAAAGTTTTATTATCTACTTGTTGTAGGAACTGGAAAACGTAAGGATGGACATGGATTGATTTGTGCGCCATGCTGTGCACTTTTTCTAGTATTTCACTTTTGACTTTAAATACTTCGGCAGCCAATCCACATAGACTGATACTTTTTGATGCTGCATCATAAGATATCTTCAAAGAGGGGTACTCCTTGTGAACATTCTCCTCTAACCCAGTACTGTGTAAAATTGCATACTTTCCTAGGTCAAGTGACATAGTTTGTTCTATGCTCTGCTTTTCTCTTTCAATCTTTTCCCTGGCATTTTCTATTAGCTCCTTCACTTCTTGCTCTGCATCTTTCAAAATTGCTGAGTCACCTACTAAGACAATCATGTTCTTGGGAATGTCAGGTATAATCAAAACACCATCCTTTACCAAGCTGTTTCTTATGGCTTCCCACACCATTGAAATTATTTCACATTTAATGGCCTTGTACTTCGATATGCACCATGAGAACTTTTTAGAAACATCTTCATTCCATGTCTTGATCAACCTGATCATTGATCTTTGTTTAGATAAGGCATTGGAGGGACACAATCTTACTTCTGGTTTTGCACAGTTGGATAGAGGCCATGTTAGTTCACATTTGCAATCTGCCATTTCATGATTTATTTCCTGGATTAGCCGATTATCTGTCTGTAAAAACTGCCAGATATAAGGATCCAGGGACACTGTAATTGGTTCTGGCATCTTTATTTGTGGCCTTTCCTTTCCATATAAAGCTGTACCCAAAGAACTGTAGTATGGATACACAGAAATTGGCACTTTGTGGAATGAATGCTGCTTTTCCAAGACAATATTTACATCTAAAAATAAAATAAAATAAAAATTACCCAAGTCAAATCAATTAACTGTAGCACTTCTAAGCTAATCCTCAGATTTTTGTTTTTAATGTTGCAAGTCAAGAGTTACTGTATTTATTTTGATTCTGACAGGAGTGCTTTTTAGGTTAAACAAGAATATTTCCTAGTCAATGAGGCCGTATCTACACTAGACCTGGAAAGTCGGCTTAAAGTACACAACTCCAGCTACACAGAATATGTAGCGGGAGTCAGCTGACCTTAAGCCAAGCTTCGCGCTATCTCCACTGTGAGAAGCCAACTGCAGCAAACACTCCTGTTGACTTCCCTTACTCCTCACAACTGAGAGGAGTACGGACATCGGCTGAAGCTGCCCCCAGGGTTGGATGTATGGGTCTATTCTAGACCCACTAAATCAAACACCAGAACGTTGATCTTCAGTGCAGTGAGTGAAAGGATACTCTGACAAGTGACATTTTTCTAGGGACTCAAGGGCTTCTATATAATTGCACTTAATTATAAGAAGCAGAAAGAACTTGACATGTACAGCATGTCCGTGGTGTGAAAAATGAACAAGACTCTCATTAAAACAGGTGTAATTTATGTGATTGCAGTCAGATCCTATATATTGTAGTCCGATTCCTAAGAGAAGAGTTAGATTTATGGCATTGGGATGTAAGGTGGATTTACGGAATTATAATGCACACAGTGTTCCACATGGAAGTTTTAATGCAGACGTTGGTGTTCTATACTTTAAACCTTCTGGAGCCAAATGCGGCTTGCCTTACCTATATGTAGTGTCTACCTATACATAGGCTTGGTAGGATTCAATGATCAATTCCTGTAGATAAATGTCTGTTTCAGCTGACATGCTGAAATCCAAGACAAAAAATCTATGGGTGGGTTGGTGTGCCCCCAGGGATCAGGTGTCACAGCTCTGTTGCAGCACAGAAGCTCTCTGCAGCTTTTGGGAGCAGCTCCATGCCAGCGGGGCTGAATGCTCTCCCATGGCACTGGTGACACCCAATCCTGCGGACATAAGCACACTGGAGGGTGTGTTGTCCTAATCCAACAGAGTAGAATCCTCCGGACAACATTAAGGAGCAGGACGAGCCCCAGAAGCAGGGGAGTCCACCCTACAACTTAACAGTTTCTTGCAGGGGACAGCTCCCACACTCCCAACTGGTGAGCGAGAGCCAAACCTACTTATAACAGATCTTCGTCTGGAGTAAATAAATATCCAAGTTGCTGAAATGTCTTGCACGAGAGAGACTTCGCTCGCAGTTGTTTGATTATAGCTACAATACAGACCTACACCTTGAAACATTTTAGGAGACTGGTTAAATTGTAACTGGGCAAATAGATATTATTTTGAAGCAGGGTCTCAAACTCACAGCCTGTGGGCCATCTATAGACCGAGCATTTTCACAATCTGGCCCAGGAGTCCCAGCAGCCCAAGGGGTGTGTCCCTCTACTCATTCCCAAGCCCCACCCATTCTGGATGCTGCCTCCTCTTCCTCTCCCCCCCACTGCACCCCTTCCCCGGAGGGACGAAGCCTCAGGGATTACTGGGGGGGAAGGGGGGAGTGGAAGGAGTTTGGCGCAGGGCAGCAGCAGAGGTCGCCCCCCCCCCTTGCACTCACCATGGTGGCAGAAGCCATGGGGAAGGAGTAGGCTTGTAGGAAGAGAAAGAACACTTCCCCCCCCCCCAAGACCTTCAGGACGCCTGGGCTGGACTGCAAAAAATGTTCCAGCCACTTGAGTTTGAGCCCTCCCCCTCCCCCCCGTTGTAAAGGATCTGTCATAATTATAGCCAAAATTAATATTACCTCAGAATTAATTCTGAAGTTTCCAGATCAGAGAGGTCCCACCTGTACTACTGTAATATCTACTGCACCACTCCCGTTTAAGAGTTTAACTGTTTAACTGGTTAAACAGGATTTTACATCCCTAATATGAATGGCCTTCACATGATACATTAAAAATTGCTACTCCAGTTTCTTATGCTCGAGAGTTCTATGTAAAACTGCATTCAAGTGAGCACAAATTATTTGGTACATTCTACAATGTTGTTCTCAATAATGACTGATGGTCTGTAATTATGGATCCTGTTGCATCAATGCCCCACATTATTTTTACAAATAGATTAGGTAGAATTTTATAGAATTTTAAAATATCGTGTGCAGAATTTGTAATTTTGGAAGGGGGGGGGGGAAGAAGAGAACAGAATTCCTCTCCAGCAGTACTAATTTAAGAAGCAGAAAAGAAAGAATCCTCATGCTGCCTCAAAAACACTTCAAAGATTCTAACAACAAGATGTCCACCGGAAACTAAGGGCTTCATATAGTAATATATTTAGTCCCAAATCTAGGTTTCTAACCGCAAAGAGTAACAACCTGCGGAACCTTTTAACTCTTTTCTGAGCATAAATTACTCATTTCTTAATATAATCATGTTCATGTTGAGCTTTTAACTGCAAGATTAAATTAATGATACATATTTATGTTACCTTTCTGATAAAGGAAAGTAATAATAGCGGAATTTTCTTCTGCGAACAGCTGAACTTCTGACACTTGTGCACCACCATTTCTTGGACTTTCAAAGTAGATAGTTATATAGTCACTAAGTGTGTTAGGTGGTACATTTTCAGCCTTAATGCTGTTTGTCACCTCAAGATGCCGTGCCATAATATTTTGTTGCTTTGCTCTACGGTTTTGGTTGAACTTTCCAATAAATTCCCCTATATCTAAAAACAGAAAAGAAAAACATTTACCAGATAATTGTTACCATTATGATGTTAGGAAAAAGAACATAAACCATGGGTGTAATGATAAAAATGTTCCATTATACATAATTAATCTTTATTAACTAGCTTTGCAAAATTCTACTTTCCCATTTTCTTGAGTGAATTTTTTTTTTTTGACAGGTAAACAAAATATCATTAGTTTTTCCACTATCATTGGCTATTATGATAGAAGGTGGATGAGCAGCGTTTGTTCCTGGTCTTGTAAATAGCAATTTTACAACTACAAAATTATTCTCCGCAGGCTACCAAAGCCAAGATTAGAGAATTCAGACATTCCTGACTTCCAACTGATGCTACTTCTAATAGACCACACTCCCCTAGAGATATTTATTATATAGGATACTTCTTTTTTAAAAATCAAAGACATATTGAAATGCTGTATAGTGATAGTACTGGATTCTGTAATTAGTCTAAAGCTACCACTCAAATTGAACCCCACTGATAAGAAGGTGTTACTCCCTTTACTGCCACAACTGTTGTGCCTTCTTATACCATATTTGAATTTGGTCACGTGTATGGTGGCTATTGTTCTCCATCCAAACTGATCTGGTCTGTTAATAAGATCAAATACAGCTCTTGTTCAAGATATATTTCATACTAGTGAGACGTGTATGTAAATTTAAGGGAATGCCAGTCTCCTGGAATGTATATTATTATAATGTTCCCAATCATATATACCTGATGAGAGTCTCTAATCCAAATTAGAACATTAAAGGTTGAATCTCTCTAGTCTGGCACCTATGGGATCTGACCGGTGCTGAACCAGAGAATTTGCCAAACCATGAGGAGGTCAATATTGCCTAGCAGCAGTACCAACACTTCCACTGCTTAGTGGGCTCTTAGAAGACAAACGGCACAGAACACTGAGCAAACACATTTTATTGGACCACAGGAAACTTGGCTACATCCATGATAAATGGATACCCAGCCAACTAAAATCATGCCAGACCATGGATGTTGCTGGACCATAGTGTGCTGGACTAAAGAGGTTCAACCTGTATATAAAATAAGGTAATATATCAAATATAGAGTACACCATGCATGCTATATATATTCACAGCTTGGCACTCTGAGAATAGTTTTATATTGGTTTGGAAAAAAACTGTTAATGATCGTTTATAACGTAGGATCAAATAATTTTCCCATTGAGATCAATGGCAAAACTATTACAGCGACTTTAATGGAACAAGGATTTGGCCCTTAATGAAAATTTTAGTATGTTTTCTGGCTTAATAAACAAGCACCATTCCATTAAAAGTTTTGCTGAAAAAGTGATGGCACAATATGGCCCATAATAATAATTCACCAGGCATAAAATACTATTTTATATGATTTGCAATAATTATTTTTACATACTGCCAGCTGTGCAGCACTTCTATACACACAACTATAATTTACAAATGACTGTAGCTCCCCTTGCAGTTACAGGACACACTAAATCTAATTATTCTGATGTAACTCCTTTAGAGGAGTTACTCTTGATGTTAATGAGATTGGGTTTTGATCCTTGAGAGAGAATATGTAGCTCTGTTTTCCAGCTCAGCTGAAGTGTTACCTGAATGGCCCCTTTTAAAGCCTCAAGTGAAAAGAACATACCGTAAACATCCCATCTTACCCATATCTTTGATAAATTTAACTACAGCAGCATTTATTTCAGGTATCATTTCCACATTGAAGTCGTTGTCTTCTTCTGACAAGCCACTGATGTTCTCCACCAACATAGTTAACATATATTGTTTTGTAGTTTCTTGTATATTTTCAAGAACAACCAGAGATGAAGCCATTTGTGGGAGTTCTTGGATATTCTCCACTTGCCATGGTTTCACCTGGAGTGCAATTTTCTTTACTGAGTGATCCTTCTTTTTCAAGACTTCTTGTGCATCTAGTTCCACAGAAACACAAATACATGGAGATCACTATTATACACACTCGTAGTTACTCAGAATGGATCAACATGTTAAGTTTTAAATCTCTGCAGTGGATTCACACCTCTTATTATAGAAAAGATGAAAAGACACGTGGTCAAAAGTTATGCTCAAGATGAAAGTTCTTCTACAGCCCCATAAAGGGACATCCAGAGCAACATCCTTTTAAAACATGCAGTTACTCCTACTGCTAAATAATATGATGCTATTAGTACCAATTAGTCCTTGAATGCCAAATACTGATCTCTAGATTAATTGTGAAATGACAACAGTAAGTGAGGGCTAATGAAGCGAATTAATTTATTAGAGAAATGTATTAATTGATTATAAAGGCAGTCCCCGACTTACGTGGATCTGACTTATGTCAGATCCCTAGATACGAACGGGGCTTTTCTCGCCCCGGAGGACTCGGGCGGCGGACCACCCAGTCCCGCCACCCGCGTCCTCCGTGGCGAGAAAAGCCGCTCCGCATCTCCCTGGTCTGCTGCACAGCTAGTGGCCTCCCCCCCCGCAGCAGACCAGGGAGACGCGGGCGGCGGGACCACAGAGAGGCGCCGCAGTCCCGCCGCCCGCGTCCTCAGAGGCTTTGCTCCGCGTCTCCCTGGTCTGCTGGGGGGGGGGGAGGGCAGGGCGCACTAGCTGCGCCCCCTCATCCCCCCCAGCAGACCAGGGAGACGCGGGCGGCGGGACCACAGAGAGGCGCCGCAGTCCCGCCGCCCGCGTCCTCAGAGGCTTTGCTCCGCGTCTCCCTGGTCTGCTGGGGGGGGGGGAGGGCAGGGCGCACTAGCTGCGCCCCCTCATCCCCCCCAGCAGACCAGGGTTTTCTCGCCGACGCCTGGGGTAGAGCAGCTGGGGTGCTGCCGGGTTGGTCCAGTAGCGCCGAGGAGCGCCCCAGCTGCTCTGACCCAGGTGTCCAGACTCAGCCGCTGATGAAACTGATCAGCGGCTGATTCCAGGGAGCCTGGGGCAGAGCAGCTTTGCCTCGGGCTTCCTGTAGTCAGCCGCTGGTCAGTTTCAGCAGCGGCTGAATCTGGACACCAGTTCCAACTTACATACAAATTCAGCTTAAGAACAAACCTACAGTCCCTATCTTGTACGTAACCCGGGGACTGCCTGCATATGTGTACATGTAGGACCCCATGTAGCAAAGCACAACAGGTAGATTAATGTCTATCATGTTATTCAAGCTGGGATTTTCAAAGAGTTAATGCCCAAATTCCTTTGGCATTTTAAATAGGAAATGTGTCCTTAATTTTCCTAGACTCATTTGAGAATACTAGTTTAATTGCTTTGCTAGATCTGGGTCTGAAGTTAAGAGTTAAATATCACCCGTGTCTCTGAAATGCTCTTCACCATTATTTTTACAACACCTAAAATGACTGTAAGATTACAGCAAATATGTTGTTCCATGTTTTCAGTCTATGTGGACAGCACTTTGTGTATAGCCAGTTTTGCCAGCTCCCCTGAATTCTCCTGCTTGTTTGGATCCCTCACACAGTAACAAGCAGAGAAAAGAATGTTAGAATATATGGAAATGTGACTCTAAAACCATGGGAAAAGTCAAAAGGAGATGGGGGAGTAAATGTAAAACCAGCGGCTACTTTAAACTCATTTTTTGAAATTGGTTAGCTATTGCCCCATTAACCTGCCTCTGAACTATGGAATCAAGCAAATATTACCTAATAAAGCCATTTTTGATGGCCTTAAGCCCATGCCACACGAACACACTCCTGACCTGCCAGCCACAGGGCTTCTCTTATCTCTATGTCATCAGTTCCCTTCTGGTCTCCTGGTTTAAGTATTCAGGAGAATACTTCTGTTGCATCATTAATTACCATCTAATGCAAGGGTGGCCAACCTGCAGCTCACAAGCCACATGTGGCTCTTTAGCTCTGAAAGTGCGGCTTGCGAAGCCGCCCCACATGCCCCTCTATTGGTTCCGGCCCCCTGTGATTTCTGGGTGCAGGGGAGCCATCCAGTGCAGCAAAATGGTAGTGGCCGACGGGAGCCTGATGTGGCCAAAAAGCCCCCCCGCTCAGCAACTCTAGCTGGTGGGGAGCTGGTCCTTTCCCCTCCAACAATTTTGGTGCGGCTCTTGGCATATTTTCCGCAGCTGTTTTGGCTCCTTGTTTAATGGAAAAAACAACAAATGGTCTGGTAGCACTTTCTAGACTAACAAAACATGTAGATGGTATCACGAGCTTTCGTGGGCACAGCCTTACATGTTTTGTTAGTCTATAAAGCGTTACCAGACCATTTGTTGTTGTTTTTTCCTGTAACAGACTAATTTGGCTACCCCCTGAAGCTTTGTTTAATGGGTTGGCAACCCCGATCTAACGGTAAATCATGCAGGGTGAAGGGTGGGCATAACTTGAGGCTGTGCGGAGCCTCACAAGAGAAGAGCCAGCACAGCCTGGGAGGGCAACAAGCAGCTAAGGAGTCATCCAAAAGGAAGACAGAAGACTGGTGCGCCACATGTCTGTTTGCCTAAAATCCTAGGAAAAGAAAAATCTGAAAAGCTCCCCTGAACACATTAAAATTTAAGACCTAATTTTCCTTTACTATAAAAGTTTCAGGTAAGAAACCAGAAATATGCTAAGAGTTAATTTTCCACTGAAGAACTGTGAGTTTCAAAAGAACTTGACTGTTGCACCCAACTCAATTATTCTACAGAAAAACAATTTCCAAAAGCCACACAGATGCCCGACATGAGAGATTTATTTACTTTATCTTAATCTCTTTGTCCTATGCAGCAATTTGCAGGAGAGTCAAACAATGAGTTAGGAGATTCTAATTTCTCTTTAAGATATATATGGTATGAATATTTTTGGTTTCCAAGGTCAAGGTCTCCAATTCAAGAAGGTACATAATGATCTTTCAGACTGAGTGCCTAATTGTAGAAGAGGAGAAAAAGACAAGATCTTGTCTTGTTGTTTTGCCAATTGCAGATGAGAACGTAACTTACATGCCCGAGATAGTAACTTGGTTCCAAATCGCTTTTCACTTCCTTTTAAATTCTGTTGAGATTCCATATTAATCGGGCGAATAACTACCTACCACATCAGGACAAAGCTAAACTAACCTAAAGAAAAGCCATCTGAATCTTATTTATGACTATAACCCCCTTCATTGTCTCTTGTCTGTTTTAGCTACTGCCATGTAGTTTGTATCCAGAACTTTCAGCAACTCCTGAGCCAACTGGTAAATTTTCCCCCACCAGACTGACTATAATATGAAGAATTTTTGACAAACAGCGGTAGGGTTTTTCATATGGCATGGAATCTACTGCCTTATTTTACCAACTCTCAAAATCTGAAAAAAGGGATCTGTGTGGAACAATAGGTCCAAAGGAGAATTTACCTCCTATATGCAGCCAGTATGTACAGCAGTTCTCCACTTGCTACTTTAGCTCAGATTGCCCCACCATTTACCTTACACATATATGAGATCTGCATGGATCCCGTGATTTTCCCTAGTATTCTTTCCTTGCACTAGTGCAGGGGTGTCCAAACTTTTTTCAAAGAGGGCCAGATTTGAAGAAGTGAACATGCGTGAGGGCCGTCCCCGCACTCTCAGCCCCAAGGCGGAGGGCCCACAGGGTCAGAGGTGGGCGGAGAGCGCAGGGCACGCCGGCCTCACGCCAGCCCGGGGGCAGGGCGAACCCGCAGCCGAGCGGTGCTGAGGACGTGCCCTACAGGGCAGGCTCTAGGACCGCAGAGGCCATGGCCGGCGGCGGCGCAGCCGGAAGCGGCGCGCTGGGCACGCCAGTTCAAAAGAGCGCCGGGGAGCCAAGAGAGGGGGAGGAAGCGGGGGCCGTATTAAATCGGAACACGGGCCGCAATTGGCCCGCGGGCCGGACTTTGGACATGCCTGCCCTAGTGTATTTATAGCTGGCTTGAAGCCCTCATCTCCGGTGCACAGTGGGTATCGGTACAGTTACTCTGTTTACACCCAATCATCCAGGCATAACATGGCATTTCAAAGACCCATTACCAAAGAGGTCATATGTTTGAGAAGTATGCCTATATCGTACCTTCAGCATTTTCAAAGGTGATGATTATTTGCTGATTATTTCTGACACAGGATTTGATGGGTCCTCCACCTGACCGCATTTTATTTTCAAAGTACATGCTTACAAGTTCATCATCAATTTCCTCCCCTGGTGCAGTGACGATTGCTACAGTGGATTGCTCAGAGGATGGCATCTCTTTCCCCAAATTCCCTGAAGAGGATGAAATTAAAGATCAGAAATCTGATGGCTTGAACAAAATTAAAAAGAAGAAAAAATGGTCTTTTACCTGTCTCGGCATTAATATCAAGCTTATCAGCACAAAAATCAGGACAGAAGAAAGGGAATCAGAGCTATTTCTAAAACGATTAATTTATTTCACAAAATTATTTTAAAAAACTACATAAACTAAATGTATGCTAATGAAAGACTGTGGATCAACAATTCCGGAGATAATGTCTCCTCCACAAAACCAGAACAGCAGAGGGGATGGCTGTGCAAGCTGCCCCACAATTCTTAGTTTGGCTCATTGATGACAAAGAGGACCATAATAACATTTTGATTACACAAGATATTTTTCTCTTACTTTTCCCACCGTTGTCACCACCAGTGCCAGCAATAAGGGGACCTCTCCCGTAAGCAGGTACTAGGGTTTTAAACCACTGTGTCATCTACAGCCATTTAGAGCAGTGTGGGATAACAGGATGTTTGGGCTATTGCTGAAAGTGGTGGAGATGCCCGGTCAGAGGCAACAATGGGAAATAGGTGTAGACACAGCCACCAATGAGAGAGGAAGTCAGTATTCAGGCTTACAAAATTAAGTCCTCGTAAGTCGATGTAATGTAGACAAGCCTTGAAACAGGATGCAAGCAGTGTAGGCTGGTTCTCCCAATCAGATGGGGAATAAACCAGACCTTCCCGTGCTGTGGATATACATGCAGATGTCTTTGTTGCTTTTAAATCCACTTTTCTAAGTATTGTGTACCTCCGGGCAAAAATATATCACACTTTGTTCTGAAGAAGTGATCTGTGTGTCTGTGAAAGTATGCTGTCCAGGTTCCCAAAGAGAAACCCCTGCAGGTCCAGTCCCAGTTGGGCCTACTGCATTAGTCACAGTTGATACCAAAGGGCCATAATCCAGGCTTTGGTCTGAGAGGACGACAAACTGAAATTCTGCCCTCAGAAAGGTGAAGGTTCAATGCTTAAAACTTGCGAGGGGTTAGCCAGAGACACCAAGGAGAGAGAAGATAGCTTATCCAAGAACTGTGCCAGCTTAGGCCTGGTTTACACTACATCAGAAGGCTGACGTAACACATCGCTGGAGCCAACACATCTTACATCACATTTCCACTCCTGTCTGCTTCCTTTACTCCTCGTGAGGTGCAGTGAGGGCGCCCTTTGAGTTTGATCTAATGGATCTATATTACACACGCTAAATCAAACCCCAGAAGATCAACCGTGGCAGCATCGACCTTCCACATAGACATGTAAAAGAGAAAGACTATATTTTTCAAAATGTGTAATTAAGTCTACGCTGAATTAAACAAGCGTCACAAGCCATGTTATAGTTTAAATTTCCATGAAAACCATCAATTAGTGCAAAAGCAGAATTTGTGAGTGTCCTATTTAACAAGTTGCATACATATCCGTCCTGTTTTCCTGCTCTGCACATGTAGAATTCCCATCATCAGAGCAGACTGGAAAAGATACATAGAATTAAATTAACTGAGAAGAAAAAAAAAAACCCTCCATGAAGCTAAATAAATGTGATTGCTTGGTGATTATTGCAGTTGGAGGAACGCTATCACTGTTCAGAAATGATCTAGTTTGAGTGTGGCGTCCTTTGATACCACTTACCTTAGAATTATTCCTTGTGATATATATTTTTATTTCAAGTAAGGCATTATATCTCACAAAATAATCAGTATCCTCTGTAAGCTCTGCACTTGTGCAACTGTTCAGGAGAGATTCAAATGCCACCCAGCTGATCAGCAGAGCGCCCACAGCTATGTTTTTTGTTTTTACTGGTGGTGCACATTCACACATGACTTGGTTCACATAATTTTTTTCCCCACACATAGATGGAAAAATTTAGAACATTGCTCATAACCTCAAAAATTAAGATGTATCATATTAAAAACAAGCCAGTGCCCAGACAGCCTGTTCAACTGTATCCATCCAATTTATCAGAAACATGGCTAATAGATCCTGCAATCCGTTATAGCACTTTAAAGTAAACTCTGGCTCACATGAAATGGATGCTGCTGAACAAGAGATCTGCGGGACACAAGGTTTTTGTTGTAAGCAGCATCACTAAGGCCCCTGATCCAGAGCAGGGCTTCTAGGCACCACTGAAATGTAAATAAATAATAGAAGCATGGAACAGTGATGACAAATGCTGCTAGACTGTGTTTATGGCTTGAAATTTTGGCCCCTCTCTCATATGTGCAAGTAAGGATTACTCAAGTAAGCACTTATCATATAGGGGTATGCAGAAGAAGAATAGGAAGGGAGAGTCTTACCCTTAGCTAAAAATCCTGCAACAAAAACGGCATACCAGATGAGTTCTCCAGTATTGCAGCATAAGGGGCTCCTTAATTTTCATTCCATTATGGGAGATTAGTTAAGGAGGTGTATTTTATCAAATGGGAGGGTTACTTTTTAAGACCTCAATGAGGTTAAAAAAAAAGTTTTATCTTTCTAATTAGCCCAAGAAAATGCAGATATGCATACAATTTAAAGAATCCTACAAGCCAAAGTTTACATAGATATTTCTGATGATTGTACAAGTCTTGAAGAGAGGATTCCACCTCGCAATCTGGCCTCGAAATGTTGCTGTGGGGATACGTGTAAGCCTCAAGAGGCTGAAGGTAGTTTTATATCTACAACCTCACACTGAGAGCCTAGCCACAAGGACACTGATTACTGAAATACTAACATCTTGAAAGCAAAGCTAACATCATCCATTCATAGTATTCAACGAACAGTTCTTTTAACAGACAAGGGATCTGTTTTGCAGAGATCTGTTTCCTCTATGACTCTTGCTGAAATCGAGCGTTAAGGGGCGGAGCTAACAAAATAAATATCATAGAGCACAATACAAGGGGTTAGAGCAGTGGTCTCCAACCTTTTTACACCGAAGATCAGTTTTTAAATCTCAGAACAGGTGAAGATCTACTGCCCCGCCCCTTCCTTGAAGCCCTGCCCCTTTCTTGAAGCCCTGCCCCTTTCTATTCTCCTCCTGTCCATCACTTGCTATCGTCAGCCCTTGCTTACACACTCTGATAAACAGTTTATTTTTAAATTATGCGATATATAAAATTAAAATCACGTGTTTATAGTTATGAAATAAATGGTATGGTTTTTATTCATGCTATTTAAATCTACAATGAAGCATTTATAATTGTACATTTTGTGGGGACAGAGTTCTGCGGCTGGGGGCAGGGGAGAGGGAACAGGGTGCTGGGAGGGCAGAGGACAGGGTTCTGCAGCAAGGGACAGGGTGCCAGTGGGGACAGAGTTCTGCGGCTGGGGGCAGGGGAGAGGGAACAGGGTGCTGGGAGGGCAGAGGACAGGGTTCTGCAGCAAGGGACAGGGTGCCAGTGGGGACAGAGTTCTGCGGCTGGGGGCAGGGGAGAGGGAACAGGGTGCTGGGAGGGCAGAGGACAGGGTTCTGCAGCAAGGGACAGGGTGCCAGTGGGGACAGAGTTCTGCGGCTGGGGGCAGGGGAGAGGGAACAGGGTGCTGGGAGGGCAGAGGACAGGGTTCTGCAGCAAGGGACAGGGTGCCAGTGGGGACAGAGTTCTGCGGCTGGGGGCAGGGGAGAGGGAACAGGGTGCTGGGAGGGCAGAGGACAGGGTTCTGCAGCAAGGGACAGGGTGCCAGTGGGGACAGAGTTCTGCGGCTGGGGGCAGGGGAGAGGGAACAGGGTGCTGGGAGGGCAGAGGACAGGGTTCTGCAGCAAGGGACAGGGTGCCAGTGGGGACAGAGTTCTGTAGCTGGGGATAGGGGAGTGGAGTCTGGGGAGCGGGGACAAGGTGCCAGTGGCAGCAGAGCCACCTGCATCTGCCTCCTCCCAGAATTCTCCCCCCCTGCGGGAAGCCAGCACATGCGAGGTCAAACCCCCCTCCCACAGTGCGCCAACTCCCTTCCCTCCCGCAGCGTGGCCAAACACCGGAGCCAACTCCCGCGGCACAGGGAAACCCCTGCGCCCAACTCACCCCTCTGGCGCCAGCAGCGCAGAGAAGCCTCCGCACTCCTCCTCTAGAGCCAACGCCCCCACCCCCAGCACGCAACAGAGCTGTGGGAGGGGGAGCAGCCCACACACTTCCGGAACCCCCGGAAGTGATGCGGGCTTCAGAGAGGGGTGGGAGGAAAATGGGGGGCAGGGTTGCCTGAACGCCTCGCGATCAACTGGTCGAGGCCTCACAATCGACGGGTTGGTGACCACAGGGTTAGGGTGAGAATTGCATGTTAATTTTAATTGTAAGGCTAAGCAATTTTGATGGTGTCCCTCTTAAGTGACACAGCTTACTTGATCTTTCATCATGCCTCCATAAAAATACATTTAACTTCAGAACTGCATTAACAACTCTGATATTGTTTCTCCAGGACAACTTTTGTTCTGTCAATGTTACACTGACGTGTCACAGATGATGCCTGAGTGTTGCTCATGATGAGTAGCACAGAAGGAGCATGACAACACCTGGAATGTTCAGAGGCAATCCTTGTATGTCATGTAGTTGTAGCCATGCTGGTCCTAGGATATTAGTGACATGAAGTGGCGAGGCGATATATTTTATTGGACCAACTTTTGTTGGTCAGAGAGCTAAGCTTTCAAGGTGCATACAGCTTCAGGAACAAGAAGAATTCGAAGTGACTCAAAAGTTTGTGTCTCTCACCAGCAGAAATTGGTCCAATAAAAGATATTGCCACACCCACCTTTTCTCACAGTTACAATAAACTAGTTAAAGGAATAGGCTATGGTTGCTGCTGTTGAGTGCTAGACTAATGATAAAAATTGGAGGAGAAAAATAGCTTTCACAAGCTTAACATATTTAAAACTTTCTGCAGGAATTAGAAAGGCTGAGCAAAACAGGTGCTGATCCAACACAATTAAGCATATGCTAAACTTTAAGCAGCTGACTAGCCCTTTTGAAGTCAATGATATTACTCACAATGCTAAAAATTAACCAGGTACTGAAGTACTTTGCTGCACTGGGACATGACAGGAGCCTACAGCAGGAGATAGTAGAATTCACTGATCAAATCCAAAACACTCCTCTGTTCTAAGGTCATGTCTGCACTGGAAGGGAAAAATGTAAATTCCAGCTTGAGGAGACATACCCATGCTAGCTGTGATCGAGCTAGCATACTAAAAACGGAAGTGTAGCCATAATGGTATAACCACCCCAAGAACATACTTATGGTTTTGGAAGGCATCACACACAGAATGGCTGGCTCCTTCCACCATGAGTGGATATCCTTCTGGTTTTAGCAAGCTAGTTTCATCACTTCTTACAGGGAGAGGGATTGCTCAGTGGTTTGAGCATTGGCCCGCTAAACCCAGGGTTCTGAGTTCACTCCTTGAGGAGGCTATTTAGGGATCTGGGGCAAAATCTGTCAGGGATGGTACTTGGTCCTGCTGTGAAGGCAGGGAACTAGACTCAATGACCAGTCCCTTCCAGTTCTAGGAGATAGGTAGTTAACTTAGGTTATATATACACACAACAATAGGAAATTGGAAATGGAAAAAAAAATGGAAATGAATGGAGATGCCTTTCTGAATAACTATATTTCCGTGGTCACCAACAGGTCGATCGTGAGCTACTGGTCGATCGCGAGGCCTTGACCAGTCGCTCACGAGGCATCCTGTCTGCCCCGCCCCCATTTCCCTCCCATCCCCAAGAAGCCGCACTACTTACCTCAAGGAGGGGGTGAGTCAGCCCCGCATGAGGCGCACAAGGGGCTTCCCAGCATGTGCGCGCGCGGGGTGGGCCCCAGGGCAGGTGTACACACAGGGCTTCCCTGCACAGGGGGGAGTTGGCGCCAGGACACGTGCATGCGGGGCTTCCCTGCACAGGGGTGGGGGTCAGCCCCTTGGGCAGGCATGCGCGCAGGGCTTCCCTGTGCCGGGGGGGCCGGCCCCGGGGCAGGCGCCTTCGGGGCTTCCCTGTGCTGCGTGGGGTCGGCCCCGGGCAGGCACGGGCTGGTTTCCCTGGGGTGAGGGGAGAATCCTGGGAGGAGGGAGATGCAGGGGACTCTCCGCCTCCACTGGCACCCCAGCCATAGAACTCTGTCCCCACTCTCCTGGCCCCAGCTACAGAACTCTGTCCCTATTCCCATCCCCACTACCCGAACTCTGTCCCCTGCTGCAGAACCCTGCCCTCTGCCCTCTCCCTTGCCCCTAGCCCCAGAACTCTGTCCCCACAAAATGTATAATTATAAATGCTTCATTTTAGATTTAAATAGCATGAATAAAAACAGACCATTTATTTCATAACATCTGATTTTAATTTTATGAATCGCATAATTTAAATATAAACTGTTTATCAGAGTGTGTAAGTAAGGGCTAGGGATAGCAAGTGATGGACAGGAGGATAATAGAGAAGGAGGGGCTTTGAGGAAGGGGCAGGACTTCAAGGAAGGGGCGGGGCGGTAGATCTTCGCCTGTTCTGAGATTTAAAAAGTGATCTTGGGTGTAAAAAGGTTGGAGACCACTGCTATATTCACTCAGGCTGCAGAACCCAAATCCAGGCAGAAAAACCACATATTAGAATTTTTGCTGAATACATCTCTACCCAGAAAGTAGTTCAGCTTCTCCTCCCCACCGACTAGATTGGGCCAAGAGCTAGGAGTCACTGTGGAAAGCATTTTCTCTCCCTTTTGCAGTTTTCATCTTAGCACAAAAGAAAAAGCTTCATTTCCCACAAATAATATTTTAGAATTTTATAAGCAGATTCAATATTTCAGATTTGTTTTTTTGTTTTGAACAAAATCTTACCTGGTTCTTGGAGTTTGCTTGGTGTCGCAGACTCCTAAAAGCAAAGGACAGTCAGCTAATTAAAATAGCATGTGACATTCTTGTTATTACTTCAAAACGCTGAACCCTGCAGATTAGGATTCTATTTTATATTTATTTACCTCCTTAGGAGCCGGTACTTCCCCAGGCACATCTTTTTGGGTTGCACCTGTTGTTTCAAGCTGTGAGACAACCAGCTTTAATTTTCCTTTTGCTGCGCAGTCAAGCTCATGGTTCTTTTTGTTAAGAACTCGCTGCCTCGCTAAAGCAAAATAAAAAAAACTTTTATAATCATGGCAGAAGGGATATTAGTCTTTACGTCTATGCACCATTATAAATATCCTAATGCTGGGTTACATACTCTTCACTGCTGAGCACTGTTAAGAAATCATACAACAAACTCCAATGAAATACGCACATTTTAAAAATCATGGCACTAGACTGATGGGCTAAACTTCATTCAATAAATCTGCTCTTGATTACCTCCTATTTATTTTTCTTTGTTTGCATGTTGCCTAGTTAAGGCTAATTATGCTCCTCACTGACTTCAGAGCAAGGCAGATTATGCCCTTAGATTGCAGGCAGTTTGGAGAAGGGAACTTGTCACCATACCAGTCTCTAGTGATGCTGTTGGGGCTATATAAATAAGAGACTGAATAATTAATAACACATGCCCTATGAGTTCTCTCAGTTTCCTTTCAATTGTTCAATTAGTAATATTGGGATTAACAGAGACATGAACCTGGGAGGGTGTTTGGCCTCCTAAGCCCATGCATTGTGAGGATCTTGAAAATCTGCAGGAATATGGATTTTATACAAAGCTCCTTGGGTTATCCTTTTCCCTGTGGCAGCATGGTCCCCACTGGGTGATCCTCCAGAGCCCTCCTATGAAGGAATGCTGAATAAATATATGTGGAGAGTTATTCACCTTAACCCGCAGTAACTTCTGAGGGCAAGAGAGCAGAGAAGAGGAAAATAAATGCAAATCTGCTATTTGTACTATAGTAGCATCAGAGACACTGATGAAATCAGGGCTCCATTGCAGAGTGCTTCACAAACAATACAGCATCCAATTTACTCACATCAGTAAGAGTCTGCACTATCAGGGCCTATGACTGTAACTTCTTCAGTGCAAGGAATGCCTCTTATTATGGGTTCATTTGTCATGAAGTGTAACTGGGCCTCAATGTGAATGGTTTGTAACACTATTAGCACTACGCAAGTAGGTAAGTTAAGCATGAGCATAAATATTGGCAGGTTTGGGGCATTAGGTGGATCTGATCAAAGCATTACAAGGGGAGCCCAACCCAAAGAATTTCCACTGTGTATAGCAATGTAAGTATCACAACATCATTCAAAGCACATTAATCCATCCTGCATATTGGATACAGAATGTGCCATGAAACCAGAACACATTTACTTCCAAGTACAGTGTTTTTGCATAACTGACTCTACCTACTATTTTTTTTAAGATCTGTTCCAAGTAAAAGATATGTGTGGGGCAAGATTCTAGTAACAAACGAAAAGTCTTAAAATAAAATACACAAATATGCACTGCCTTGTGGGGTGAGGTTCACAAGTTACAAATGGACATGAGAAATGAGCATCAGAAAGTCTGAGATCTACTCAATCTGATGTGTGTAGGAAGGGAAGAGTGGGCATACAATGATACTCTCTCTCCATTCTGTAGATATGGCTCATCATTAGCAGGTGTAAATTCTGTAGAGGAAAAGTTTGCAATAAATAGGAAGATATAACTGGGCATTTTTAGCACAGCACTTTCCTTCCAAGCACTTTACAGAGTTAGTGGTAGAGACATTCTGGTCCAAACATGGCCATGCAGAGAAGTGTGGGAATTTTAAGGTTTATTCCACACCTCTATGCAAACTGTCCTGCTCTCAAGTCAGGCATGTGGAGGCCAATACAACCTCCTGCTTCTCAGCAACCACGTTGCAGAATGGTTGAGACAGGCACAGATAGGAAGGGGAACTGTAGCTCCAACCCTCATAAAGCTTCAAAGAAGCAGAATTGAGCTGACAAAGCAGGGAAGTAAGTTATGCCCTGTAAAAAGCTGCAGTAACTGCCCTTATTCTCCAGATCTGTTTTCTTTCCAAGACTCCTGATGGGGCAATGTGCGCACACACTGCCCCTTCCTAGGTGCCTGGGCTCACTGGTTAATGTTCATGCTTACACACAGGTATCTACTTATCGGTTAATTGTTTAGCAGACTGCACTATCACATCGCTAGTTCACAGTAGGGATGTGAATGGTTTATCAGTTATGGTGGAGGCTGGCAGGCAGTGGAAGCCCGGTGGAGCCTGAAGCAAAGGGAGGGGGGGGGACAAAAGGGGAGGCCGTTCAGCCCAGTCAGGGCGGGTGGGTTGGCTGGGGAGAGAGATCTGCTCCAACCCACATGGGCTGGAGTTGCCCCCCCCCCCCCATTTAATCAGTTAACTGTTTAAACTTAACGTTAAACTGGTTAACTAAACACACAGGATTTTACATCCCTACTTCACAGGCAGGGAAGGGGAGCAGCAACAGAAGGGGAAATCCCAGACGGGGCGGGCGGGGCTTGGCTAGGAAGAGGGGCGCTCAGGGGAGGAAGAGACGCAGCAAAGGGGGAGGAGAGCATCACGGAAGGGGGAAGATGCGCGGGAGGGGAAGGCAGCGCGAAGCCGGGTTGGGGGAGAGGGGCGCAACCACGAACAGAGGGAATGAGGGCGGACGAGCCCCGGGCGGGCAGGCACCGCGCGTGGCGGGGCAGGGATGGGGAGCCAGCGGGCGTCGCAGCGGGGAAAGGGCCGGGGACCCGCAGGCGCCGCGGGCGTGGCTGACTTCGGGCAGCAGGTCCGGCGCCAGGGGCCAGCTCCAGAGCCCTGCGTGGGGGCCGGGCAGCCCCCTCCCCAAACTGCAGACACGCCCGCGAGGAGACCGGCCCGCTCCTACCTTCCTGCTGGGCGAAGCAAGCCAGGACCTGGCCGGGCCGCTCCTGGATCTCGCACTCGCCCCCTCCGGATCGCTTCGCGCTCTGGAAGTAGCACAGGAGTTTCTTCCGCAGGCTCTTGGGGAGCCCCGGGCCCCCCCAGTCCGCCTCCACCCGCACGGGGAAGGGGTACTGCGCCTCCCCTTCCATGGCCGGCTAGCGCCGCGCGGTGATTGAGGAAATCTGCCGCCTCCCGTGGGGACAAACGCCCCGGCTAGCAGCTGGTTTCACTTTCATTTCCTAGATAGCTCCTCCTCGCGGGGTTTCTTCTCTGCAGCGTGACCCAGGGTGAGCTAGGAACCGGCAGGGGTGGGGCATAGGCACCTCCCCGCATTGCAGGGGGCCCTGAGCGGGTCTGAATTTGGGAGAGCCCTGTGTGAAAGCGTGAAGTGGTGTCCTATCGGCCTCCTAAAATTAGCTGCATAAGTTGGTCAAGGAGGGCGTGCATGCTCCAGGGGAGGGAGACACCACACAGCTCCCTCTGCACCAGCCCAGCGGCAAGAGACAGAGAGGCTAGTCTATGCTGGTGCTTCTCAGGCAAAATTATTTTGCAGAAGAGTTCTTGTGCAAAAAACTCTTCCAGAAGAGAGCGTCTACACTGGCATGTGCTTTTGTGCCAGAGATATGCTTTTGCGCAAGAGCATCTGTGCCAGTGTAGACACTCTCTTGTGCAAGAAAGCTATCTTGGCCATTTTAACCATCAGGCTTTCTTGCACAAGAAATTCATGTTGCCTGTCTAAACTGGCCTCTTCTGGAAGAGCTCTTGCGCAGGAGGACTTATACCCAAGCGGGAGCATCAGAGTTCTCACGCAAGAAGCCCTGATTTTATACATTAGAATGTAAGTTTACTTGCGCAAGAACACTCGGCCAGTGTAGACAGGCAGCAAGTTTTTGCGCAAGAGCCGCCGCTTTTGTGCGAGATCATGCCAGTGTAGACACAGCCAGAGAGTAAGAAGAATATACAGAATAATGAAGTATGAGAAAGGCTATTAAATACTGACCCATCACAAACTGTTATAGCTTTTAGCAGTAAAGGGACCTCGTGGCATTTAGCTAAAAGTCAAAATATTGCAATAATATTTTCAGTCCTACACATGCATCTCTGGGGGTTCTTGACAATCCTTTAGTCTTAGCCACATAGTTCTGCTTTAAAAATAGGTTTCTGTCCCCTGTTGCTGTGTGAAACAGAGGTTCTCAGAATTTCCAGATCTCAGTGTCTGGTTCAGAAGCCTGATGCCAGAGCCCTACTACCTGGGGCTGAAGTATGTAACTTAACTTCATGGGGCCCTACACAATTGCCCTACTTGCCATCCCCAATTGACAAGCCCTCCAGTTCCAATCCCCTCACTTGCGCTGGAAGAGGGGGTCAAAAGGGGTAACTTCATTGCGGCCTGGCAATTCAAAGGGCCCATGGGGGTGGCAGCAGCTGGAGTCCCACACAGCACATTACAGAGCCCCAGACAGCACTGGGAAGCAGGGTACAGTTGAGGTGGTGCCAAGGGCCAGCTACCTAGGCCCTGCTCCTTCTGCCTGTGGCCCCATCCCTTCCAGGAGTGCAGAACTGCCTCCCCCCTCTCCTAGCCTATGGGCCTGGCAAGTCTCTTGCCTTGCCTGAATCCCCATAAACCAGTCCCATGACCCCGAGGTTGAGAAATACTGTCAAGTTAGGAAGTCTCAGAGGGGTAGCAGTGTTAGTCTGTAACATTAAAAACAAACCAAAATGTATAGAATCATGAGCTTTTGTGGGTAAAACCCACTTCATCAATGAAAGCTCATGCTTTTCTATTTTTTAATTAGTCTCTAAGGCTACGTCTACACGGGCATGATTTTCCAGAAATGCTTTTAACGGAAAAGTTTTCCATTAAAAGCATTTTCGGAAAAGCGCGTCTAGATTGGCAGGACGCTTTTTCCGGAAAAGCGTCCGTGGCCAATCTAGACGCGCTTTTCCGCAAAAAAGCCCTGATCATCATTTTCGCAATTGGGGCTTTTTTGTGGAAAACACTACTGTGCTGTCTACACTGGCCCTTTTCCGGAACAGTTTTCCAGAAAAAGTCTTTTGCCCGAATGGGAGCAGCATAGTTTTTCCGGAAAAGCACTGATGATTTTACATTAGATCGTCAGTGCTTTTCCGGAAATTCAAGCGGCCAGTGTAGACAGCTGGCAAGTTTTTCTGGAAAAGCGGCTGATTTTCCGGAATAACTTGCCAGTGTAGACATAGCCTAAGGTTCCACAGGACTAGGGCTAGGTAAGTTAACATACCCCCTGGAAGATCTCTGCAGACCCCAGGCATACTCATACCCTTGATTGAGAACCACGTGATTAAAAGGCCTCCACAAACAACAGATAAAACTGACTATGTGAATTGCAATTCACAGCAATGTAAATAAACTTGGGGGAAAAGCAATGTTTTCCCCTACTCTCATTCACTTATAGTTATCTTAGGTATTGTTTGTGGTAAGTGAAGTATTTTCACTTTTAACTTGATGGTATCCCTTTGAAAGGATATTGCTAGCCTAAATTTAGACCAAAATTTAAATTTTTTGAAAACAAACTTCTACAGAAATCTAATATTTTCCACTATTTAGAAAATAATTCTAATACAAACAGTTGTTTAGCTTCAAACAATTAAATATTTCTCTGCATTGTTTGGATGTAAATTAAGTTTAACTGGAACAAGGTACTCTTATTCCAGAATCTGTGTGTGCACATGAAGTTATTCAGGGATATTTGTTCCTGAATATCTATTCTTGAGTAGATATTTCTGAATAATTCCATGTGTAGACAAGCTCTAAGTCTAGATCTGATTCCTGAAAGCAAAACTGAATGTATCAGGTCCTCAAACGGAAGGTCATGACCCCTAAGCAGCTTGTAGTCCCATTTTAATGGGGTTGCCAGGCATGGTGTTAGACTTGACAAGGTCCAGGGCGAAAGCCAGAGCACCACCACTCAAGGCTGAAGCCCAGGCTAAAGCTCTATAGCCCACTATTTGAAAGCCCAAGGGTGGGTGGGTTACCGGCCACCCACTTAGAATAATAGAATACTAGGATTGGAAGGGACCTCGAGAGGTCATCGAGTCCAGTCCCCTACCCCTATGGAAGGACCAAATACTGTTTAGACTATCCCTGATAGATATTTATCTAACCTACTCTTAAATATCTCCAGAGATGGAGATTCCACAACCTCCCTGAGCAATTTATTCCAGTGTTTGACTACCCTGATAGTTAGGAACTTTTTGCTAATGTCCAACCTAAACCTCCCTTGCTGCAGTTTAAGCCCATTGCTTCTTGTCCTACCCTCAGAGGCCAAGATGAACAAGTTTTCTCCTTCCTCCTTATGACACCCTTTTAGATACCTGAAAACGGCTATCATGTCCCCCCTCAATCTTCTCTTTTCTAAACTAAACAAACCCAATTCTTTCAGCCTTCCCTCATAGGTCATGTTCTCTAGACCTTTAATCATTCTTGTTACTCTTCTCTGGACCCTCTCCAATTTCTCCATATATTTCTTGAAATGTGGTGCCCAGAACTAGACACAATACTCCAACTGAGGCCTAACCAGTGCAGAGTAGAGGCCTTCTCATGTCTTGCTCACAACACACCTGTTAATGCATACCAGAATAATGTTTGCTTTCTTTGCAACAGCATCACACTGCTGACTCATATTCAGCTTGTGGTCCACTATAACTCCTAGATCCCTTTCTGCCATACTCCTTCCTAGACACTCACTTTTCATTCTGTATGTATGAAACTGATTGTTCCTTCCTAAGTGGAGCACTTTGCATTTGTCTTTATTCATCCTGCTTACCTCAGACCATTTCTCCAATTTGTCCAGGTCGTTTTGAATTATGACTGTATCCTCCAGATTAGTCGCAACCCCTCCCAGCCTGGTATCTGCAAACTTAATAAGCATACTTTCTATGCCAATATCTAAATCGTTGATGAAGATATTGAAGAGAGCCAGTCCCAAAACAGGCCCCTGAGGAATCTCACTTGTTATACACTTCCAGCAGGATTGTGAACCATTAATAACTACTCTCTGGCTATGTCTACACTCGCAACTTCTTGCGCGAGTAATATGCAAATGAAACTAAGCGTGGAATATCGCCAAGTCTCATTTGCATATCTAATGAGCCACCATTTTTTTCAGAAGAGGCTCTTGTGCCCCTCAGTGTCTACACTGCCCCTTCTTGTGCAAGAAAAACTCTCTTGCGCAATGCCGTTCTTCCTTAAAAGTAATAGGTGTAACGGCATTGCACAAGAGAATTTTTCTTGCGCAAGAAGAGGCAGTGTAGACGCTTCTTCTTGCGCAAGAGCCTCTTCTGAAAAAATGGTGGCTCATTAGGTATGCAAATGAGGCTCAGCAATATTCCATGCTTAGCCTCATTTGCATATTACTCGCGCAAGAAGCGGTTATCCAGCCAGTTATGCACCCACCTTATAGTAGCCCCATCTAAGTTGGATTTGCCTAGTTTATTGATAAGAATATCATGCGAGACTGTATTAAACACCTTACTAAAGTCTAGGTATACAACATCCACTGCTTCTCCCTTATCCACACTTCTAAAAGCCCCTCCCCCAGCCTTGCAGGAGGGATGACAGGACCTAGGGATCCACTGATTCCGGCAGACAAATAATGAAAAACACAGTCAGGGAGTGCAGGTTAAAGCTCCACAGCCCAGAGCTGAAGCCCAAGCACTGAGGACTTCACCCCTGGACAGGAGGGGGCTAAGGTTACATACCCACTGTCCAGAGCAGAAGCCCTTGGGAAAGTTTGGTGTGCCTGCCCAGAGTGGCGAGGCTTGGGTGGGCTGGGGTTTGGTCCCCTCTCCTAGGGTAATCCAGTAATTTTTTGTTGTCAATAGGGGATCACAGTGCAATGACGTTTGAGAGCCTCAGACTGTATTTTTGTGTGAGATGAGAAATGGAATAAGGAAATATATTGATGTAAAGTAATCTGTATTTTACAGTTATTTCAGTTGTGTTAATGAGTAACATAGGAGAATAAATGTATTGGTTTATAAGGTAAAAGTGAAATCCTGGCTTGACTGAAGTCCATGGCAAAACTCCCATTATCTTCAACATTTCACAAAGTTGACAATGTTCCTCAGAACACAATATTTTTCTTCTGCATGCTTAACCCAGTGGTTCCTAAACATTTTTTCACCAATAACCCCTTTGCACATGACTAAATTTCCCAGACTCATTTCATTTTTTGTTTTGCATTGTCATTATTCTATCATTATTCTATGAGATTTACAAAATCTTTCTTTGGAATTAAAATA